CGTCCTATTGGGAGAGATGCTTCAGTCCCTTTGTGATCCTACACTGGGCCCTTTCCAGTATGTCCAGGTCTTGTGCTTCTGGTACTGAAAACAGAATTTCTATTCAGTCAGTGTGAGCAGAACCCATTATTTCTCAATCTCTGAGTTATAGAGGTAGCCTATAAAGGTTTATTAGATATCCAATCTTGTATTTTTCCACATCAGTCCAATCCTGGATTTAAACAAAGTAACTAGCTGGAAGATACTGAACGCACTTTGCTCTTCTGTTGGCACTAGAGAAACAATCCAACCTTGAAACATGATGATCGGACCTGATACTGTATCTCCAGCCCACCAAACTGAGGGGAGGTAACCTGAGAGGTCACGCAATGCTGCACTTTCACCTACTGCAGGATCCCATTTGTTAGACTTTCAGGAAGCAGATCAACTTACCGTGAGGTGATGAGTTCTGCCTTCCAATTGCTTGTGATAAATTACAATGCTGGTGAACTAATATAAAACACACTGGCCAAAACTTGCCCGAGAAAGTTGTAAGCAGCTGGTTTGTAACGCTCTAAGCACTGGATTTTACATCCTCCAGAGGGAAAGGGAATGATTTCTTAAGACTGGTGAAATGGTTACACAATCTCCCCCAGTACCTGCTGTTACAGGGCTTGGCTGCCCTTATCATCACAGTAGTGACATAGCTCCCAACTTACACTTGTCTCTGTGCAGCGAAAGCTTGTGTATTGTCTTTCTTTAAGAGGGCATGCACAAAGACTATCTGGCTGGTATTCTTCTAATCTGAGTGTATTATGACTGTTTCTCTCAGCTTGCATTTTCTGAGAGTCTTAAACATTTTAAAGCCATTTTGTGGACTGTAAATTGTGTGCCAAGTAGGGTGCATTATTCCACCTGATACCCAAGTGGTACCTCAAGGACAGCAGTATATGCAGCCCTCTGATTATCTATGACACTTCACACGTAACAACTTCTCTTGTTTAAAGCAGCTACAACTCTGATGACACACCAATCCCAGGTATCTATTTTGCAGTCTGTTGTCTTCTATTTTACAGTTGAAATGCTGAATTTCTTTCCCTTACACATTGTGCCTTACTGACCGAATTGCATCATATTCATTTCTGGCCATTATATCTCTTTGTCAAGAACGTTTTAAATCATAAGCCTATTCTTCAAAGTTCTTTGGTATCATCTGAAAATTTTACAAGAGTATTCTCTGTTCTGGCATCTAATGAAAATACTGAACAATAATGGAACTGGGACAGAGGTGGTTCTGTGGATAGAGCTCCATTTGATACAGTTTCCTACTTTGACAGAGAACTTCAGAGAAATACATTTCCATTTTGTGTTGATTTCTTCTTAATTACTTGTACTCAGTGTATTTACAGGAACGTGGGACAGTATCAGAAGTCTCACGGAAATGAAATCTTATCTTGATTTAGCATCCCCTGCTCTTCAGAGTGAGTTCAGCTCTGAAGATATCTCAGAGGACAGAAATGCTGAAGATATATCAAGTGAAAACGTGGCATCTTAGTCCTTAGTTTGTAACTTTATATCTGATTTTTGCATGACGTTTTGCCAAGTCTATTCTTTCAATCAAGTTGATGGACTTCGTTCTTAGATCTTATTTATTCTGAAATAGGATGATGTGTGAAAGTTTTTTGTTTGAAAAACCTCAGAACACAGGTCCTATAGAGAGACCAACTCAAGGTAAGCTTGCAGGGGAAGTCCTAAGTGATTGGAACAGGCAGTGACAAGAGCTCATTAACATTATTTGACTCTGGCAAGGAGGATAAAGATAACTAAATTCTGCTATTATTTGTTCTCATTACCTGGCTATCTCAGAATTGCCTGCTTCTAACAGAAATCTAAACAGGAAGAAAAAAAAAAAAGAAAGAAGAAAAAAGAAAGGCAGTCATGCAGTGTAATTCCACTGAAAAATGCTGGTAACAGAAATACTAAAGTAGGCACAACATGACCCAAGTCCTAAAATTGCAGTTGGCTGTAGCTATTCCCAATGGTAGGAAGCAGAACCAAGTCCAGGTATGAGCTTATTCTGCTCTACAATTACAGTGAATCTCCTGTGCTTGCAATTGTCTGAAATCAGTACATTCCCATCTGCCCCCCAGGCAGAAACAAGGCAGTATATACACACAGCAGCAATACCAAGGGTTACATATCTCATCATCACCCCTCCCCCTGTTCACTGCACAGTTTGGACCAGAGCAAAGAAGAACAAGCCTCTAAATGGCTATGTCCCCACTGGCATTCAGAATAGACCAACAGGGGCATATTTATACAGCATGTATTTGTATAGTTGACACTGAGGACTAGTGTCCATGTCGTAATGATTTCAGAAGGTTTTACACTGATCTTATTCTAGTCTAACTTCATAAACTGCATGCTAATAACTACATTCATGTGTGCCTAATATACCTAGATTAGAATCATTCCAAGGGAATCACTCTTGTGTGCTTCAAGGTGGCACTGTGACATGAACCAAAGCTTGGTAATGGGAGACCTGCCTAAAAATGCACTCCTGATCTGAGCTATAATGCTAAATACGTGTGTACCTGATGATGCTAAAGGGTGCTGAAGTTTCTGCATTCATTAGGTCTGCTGTTCCCTTTGCAAAGAACTGTATGGGTTTTGTTGCCAAGACCCTCCTCCCACTGCGAACAAGAGACAGAAAATGGCTAAGGCATACAATTGGGGCATTCATGGCAAAGAAATGAGTTCAGCTGTGTGAAGATTTTGAAAATTACTAAGTGATTTATTCTTGCTAAGTTTACCTTCATGAAATGGAACTGATTACACACTCTTAAGTTGTGTTATGTTTGACTCTTAGTTGTCAGTGGAGAAATTGTGCAAAGTGTGGATTGCACTGAGCCACTGTGTTAGTGCAAACACAATGCTGCAATGTAGTGTACAGTGGAGATGGATGCCTCTATCTAGCTTCCCAGGCATGCTTCAGGTCTGAAGCAATAAGTTGCTTTAGCTCTTATAAATCCTCCCAGAGCTTATCCAGCTCTCCACAGGGCCTGCTCTCATGCCCATGTGCTCTAGAGCTTGGTCCACCAAAAAAGGAATTGGAGGAAACCTGCGTCTGCTGGGCACAGTGAGCTGAGTTTAACACTGGTCCTGTTGACTCAGCAGTAAAGGAAGCAGGGTAGAAAGCTGGAGGTGCAGGCTGAGGCCTTGAGTTCGAGCCGTAAAAGGGGGAGAGATGGCAGCCTGAGAGCAATGAGGAGTGGAAGAGTATTATCTCTGGCCTGGGAGGGGCAAGAAGCTGTGGTTGTGGTGACAGCATTGGGCATAGGAGCGAGCAGGGAGGAGGTGGGGCGAGATGGAGGATTCTGATAGGGTCTGCTTGCCTCACCTTGCTTCATTCCCCTTGCACATCTGGAACCTCGAATATGCTGTGAGCAGCACTGCAGGAATGGGCCACTGCCTGCTCTGCCACCACCTTCTGCAGCCTGAAGCAGGGTGGGCAAGTACTACAACCTGCAGTGCCCACCTCATCTGGCTGTGCTACTCTGAGTCATTTGTTTCTGCCGTGCCCCTGCCCCAAATGACCTGGGATAATGAAGAAATTGCTGTTTGGTCTCACTTCTCCAAAACCTGCACTTACCATCATTTTCCAGATCACAGTTTAACAGATACTTCTCAAATGTGCTGGCTGATCCCTATGGTTAAGAAAGTAGTCCAACATATTTTCCAACCAAGCCAACCATTTCCACGCAACCAAGAAACCAAAGTCATTTTAATACACTCAAGTAAAATGTTGCAATATGTGATTCTGCCTTCTGGTAATGATTAATTCTTTAGAAGCACACAATGGTTACAAGCTTTAAAAAAAAAATAAAGTTATTTTGGTTCTTTTCTATCTGTGTTTGTCTGCTGCTACTTTTACCCAAATGATAAGGAAGAATGTAACACAAATTCCTTGTGTTTGCCTTACAAACCCCAACTATTATGTCTGTTCCATCTCAAAATAGCTTTTCATTTTTCCTCAGGCAATCTCAGTCAGGAGCTTGGCTCTGCTGCCAAAGCATGGGTCTGTGCAGCTCACAGCCAGCAGCCCACAGCACAGCAGACACCCAGCCAGGTTAGCACATTTACCAAGCTGCTCGCTAAACAAGCTGCAGGGAAGTATCCTGGAGCAGATCTTGCAGCCACACTTGCTCCCAAATAACTCCCTCAGCAGTGAGCAGAGCTGGGTGGGAAACCCAGAGAGCAGACAGCCGGACCAGGAAAAAGCAAGAAGCAAGGAGAGCGCAAGGTGGAAACAGCTCTGGGAAAGCAGGCCTGAAATAAGAGGTTGGTTGCTGGAAGCTGGCACATCCCCTTGCTGCAGGACGGAACAGGTGAAGGTGTGCTGATGGGGCTGCACGGGGAGTCTTGGGCACCCGCACCTCTGCTGAGGCACCGTGCAGGCAGCAGCCTGGGAACGAAACTCAGTATCTCGTACATCTGCTGCACACAGTAAATCAAGATATTTAGCGACCCACCCATTCATTTAAATTCTGCAGGTCTCTTATTTGCAAACATCAGGTTTGTTTCAACTTCTTTAGGTAAGCTTTTTTTTCTTTTTTTTTCTATAGCTTTCGTATTTCTTTTCAAATCTGAAGCATTCTTCTGAAGGCAGGATGCACGGAACACAACCAGCCCCATAAAGATGCACACAGAGACCATACCTCAGCCATGTTTTACCAGAGGGGCAGGCTAGGTCATCTCCAGAGGTCCCTTCCACTCCCTACGTTCTGTGACTCGTGATTCTTTAAAACGCAGACAGCTTTCCGAGAGGCAGACCCGCTGCAAACACCGCTACCAGGTTTCCACCAGGACCTGACGCTTCGCAACACCCGCTCACCTCCCCGGAGCCTTGTGCAGGCAGCGGGGCTCCGTTCCGCGCCGCCCCAGCCCGTGCCGGAGCCCCGGGACACCGCGGGGGCCGGAGCCCACCCGGCGCGGAATCCCGCGGGGCTACGAGCCGTTACCTTGTAGTGGCGGAAGCCGTCCAGCTGCCGGCCGCTCACATACCGCCACCGCCACATCGCGCCGCGCCGCTCCGGGCGGGGAAGGCAGCGGCGGAGCTGGAGGGGCCGGGAGGGCCGGGGGCGGGCGCAGGGCGGATCTGGAGGGCGGCACCCATCCGCGCCCGTCAGGCCGGGGCCGGCTCCCGCTGCCGGGCCTCGACGCCGCCCGGCTCTGCCCGGTGCTCCCGCCCGTGTGGCGGGGCTCCCCGTGTCGGGGGTGTCCCCGGGCTCCGTGCCGGTGAGCTGCCGGTGGCTGGAGATGCCTTCAGTCTGCCGCCTTCGGGCCCTGAATGTGTTTTTCTGGTTAACTGTTTTTCTGCCTTCCGTATTGCAGATAGTGCGGAGCCACTGTTGGGCTGCAGATGCTCGTGAGTGCGCGGTTTTCACCTCGTGTTACCTTCAGTGCACGCTGTTCGGTGGGGAGCTGAAGTTGTGCACGTCAGGGCGTGAGATCCTATTAACCAACGGGAATCTATCCAGCAACGAAATCAATTAAAATCCATTACTCAGCCCTGTGAGCTCTTCCAGGCATTGTGAGAGCCAGTGTTATTTTACAAGCTGTGCAGATTCGATAGGAATTTATATACAAGTTAAAATCACTAAGTGCAAGCTGTATACGATGGCTCTTGTTCTCTATGATTAATTACACATTAATCACTTAAGACACACACCCACATTCTGCTTCCAATAGCAACATCTGAACGTCAGGCCTTGAAAACTGCCAGTGCATTAGTACTGAGCTTCACATTACTGAGTTAACGCTTCATGCCAGTCAGGAAAGGTAAAGTATTTGGATCGGACAATTTAAATTAATGTGCACTCATACACTGGATTTTGATTTGGGGTTTCCTTCACCTCCCATTGTTACTACCATGTTTTTAAGCTGCATTATGCTATCAAGATTATCTACAAGGGTGTCTGAGAAAAGGCTCGTGACTACTCCTGTAGCCAGCAGAGGGTTTGTTTATACAACTAGTTTACTAAAAGTGACTTGACCATTTTCTAGTTATCGCTTTCATTCCTTAACTCAGACACTCACGGACCTCAAACACAAAAGCAGAAATGCACCTGGACAAATATGAGATATGTGATAGATATGTAGAATCACAAGGTTGCAAATGACCTACAAGATCATCTAGTCCAGCCTTCTCCTATCACCATTACTATCCAATAAGCTACTAAACCATACCTTGTAGCTCCTCATGCAGATGCCTCTTGAATGCTGCCAGGGACGGTGACTCCACCACCTCCCTGGACTGCTCTTTGAGAGGAAGTTTTTCCTTATACCAAATCTAAACCTCCTCTGGTACAACTTGGGCCATTTCACTGGGTTTTCTTTGTTGCGTGGGAGAAGACCAAAGCTCTCCTCATCTCAACCTCCCTTCAGAAGTTGTAGGGCATGATGACGTCTCCCCTGAGTCTCCATTTCTCCAAACAATCTCAGCTCCCTCAGCCACTCAGGTGGTAGAAAAGCCACTTGCTTTATTGAAAGGTAACAAAATATTTTTCCTCTCCACAGGCTTCTAAGTTTATCTTAAAAAGAATTGCTGCCAGGAAGATATTGATATAGAAGGTAGATACACCCTGATAGATATAGAGCACAAATTTTATTTCCTTCACTCAAAACTCTCTTGCTGATGAACACATAAAATAATTTAAAAACAAAACAAAACTCTAGCAAATGCTCCATTATACAGAAAATGCAAGATTGCATATGTGTAAGAATGCAATTTTATGGATTTGTACCTCAGCATGTTCTGTGTCTGCTAATCATCACATTTGACTTTATTTGAAGCAGTCAGCTTTGGGTAGGAGAGTCTAAAAGAGCTGGGCCTGTTCAGCCTGGAGATCCAGGGGATCTCAGTACGTACAAGTCTGAAGGGAGGGTGCAAAGAGTACAGAGCCAGGCTTTTTTTCTGTGGTGCCCAGTGCCAGGATAAGAGGCAACTGACACAAACTGGAACACAGGATGTTCCCTCAGAGCGCCAGAAGCACTTCCGTGCTGTGCACATGACAGAGCGCTGGCACAGGCTGCCCAGAGGCAGGTCTGCTGTGTGGGGTCTGCTACTCAGAGACCTCCAGCAGCTGCCTGGACATGGGCTTGGGCCCCTGCTCTGGTGTCCCTGCAGAAGCAGGGCTTGAGTCCAACAGAGCCAGAAGGCACTGCCAGCCTCAGCCAGTCTGGGGTGCTATGGTATGTTCAGAGGTTTATCTCACAACTTATGTATTTATTTATTTATTTTCTCCCAGATGCTTTTGATGCTTTTTCAGACAGATGTTTCAGTTATGGTTCAACCTACCTATTTTTCACACAGAAATGTTGGAAAAGCAATGAAAGCAGCCTTAGTGCTATAGCACATTCCCTTGTATATGTTCTGGAAAATTACTGAGTTGTAGCCTGAGGAAAATAGAGCTCTAGCTGGCTCCAGTAAGTGGGTATTATGACCTGAAAGAACTTCCATTTCATGAATTTGAGTGTGGATGAAATAAACATTAAGGCAAATGTGCAAATCAGAGCACAGTTAACTTTCAGTAAAGGAAAGGTTTAAGTTTTATAAAATCTCTGGCTTGAATGTTCGTGGTAGTTCAGACTTTAGTACTAAAGAAATTACCCATACAGATCTTTCTGCAGCTCAGAGGGAAATAATTTGAGGCCAGATCTGACTCCAGTGAAATTAGTAGGGGAATTCCCAAGACTTCAGTGCTGCTTGCTAATGATGTGTAGCACTGAAAGAAAAGCAGCGATTTATTATTTTGAAAGATCAGACACTTTGTGCCACTGGTGCATGGAAGACAATATTAGAAAGGAGCACTACACCACAGATACAAGTGTTACGAAAGAAAAAAGGGATATCACTGCATATCACACTGGGCAGTGGTACCATTTAATTTGCAGCAGAACTGAAGCCATAGCTTTGGGACTAAGAAGTCTGAAGTTTTACATGTTGTTTCCTAGGAAACATTAGAAAGCTGGAAATCATAAAAACTTAACACAGTCTACAGGAGAAAATGTGTTGGATCTACACTGACTTGTCTTTGATCTAGGCTAGGCTTTGGGATCACTTATTACCTGTTAGAAGCTGATCCTGAAACATGGGCTCTAAAATACTTAGAGCTATCTCCCTATCTCATTCCAATTAAGTGGCTGGGATGTTTGTGACTTTCAAAACTTTGCTAAGGAAATGACTTTAACCAAACATCTTCCTCTGTGTTCGAATTTGACATTGTCCTTGAAGGTTTTATACACTGGAAAGCTTTTAGAGTTGTAACTTCATGCTCCATCAGAGGAAATGAATCCATAAACTCATATTAGAATGAAGGACAGGCACATTCCTTCAATAGAAACAAGTTCTTCGAGGTTCAGTAATCCAAGCCTCCTTATCTGTTGATTAATTTGTCTAAAATACATTTTGTTTCTTTGAGAAAGAAGTTCTTTCTGCATGGATTTAAAAATGTCCATGCAAGCAACAGCAGAAAAATAAATGCTCTTTTTTGTTTTAAATTTTTTTTCAGATTTTACTGAAGAAATTGTTTTATTGATTACATGAAATTTCTGTTCTTTTTAAATAAATATTTAATGCACTGGAATACAAAAAGTTCTATTTCTTAATGTTTCCTAAGCAGTGGCATCATGATCTTGAGCACAGTCAATTGGTACATCAGATCAAAGTATGGAATTAAACTATTGTTCATGCCTGCAAGATGTGATGACAGGTATAAACCACAGAAACTTTTAACGGACTGGAAGAACAATGTACAAGTATTACAAAGCTTCTTTAGGCCTTTGTGAAAAAGCTGGCTATCCAGTATTCTTTTTTCACAAAAAATTATTTTTAAAACAATCACAGCTCTATTTTAATTCATACTATATAGGGTTGTTTTCTGGCTTCTTTCCTCTATTTCCATGTCATTTTAGTATTACTTTATGAAGAACATTAAAGCAAATAAATAAATCTGTTTATTGGGTCACTTTCTTGTGATTCCATAGAAGGAAATTCCTTCTAGATACAAGTATCTTGTAATCCTTAAAAGGAGACTACAGAAAAAAATAACACAGATTCATTTATCTGGCTAAACCTTTGTGGTTTGAGTATTTCTGTTATTTAGCTCTAACATAACCTATCTAACTGAATAGCACAGTAATACCTCTTGAAATATCAAAGAAAACCACCTTGACGATGCATAATTGAACTAATTTGTCAATCTGGTAACTGGAAAAGAAGTACTGCAAGCTTTTGGAAGGATGTGAACATACAGCTTTTAACTCTGTTTTGAATATAACAATCAAAGGCAGCATGAGTTGTAAATGATGATTCTGGCTCTTCTCTCTCTCTGCAAAATGCACTTTAATTAGTGTCAGTTTCACCAAGGGAATGTGAGATAGGTATTGGCCCAGGGTGCCTTGGAAAAAATACAAACTGTACAGTGTAGCTGCAGATACATGCAATTATGGTTTAATAACAAAAATTAGTCATACAGTGCCTTCTAACAAAACATATACATTTACAAATTCTAGTTATGCTGAGATATAAAGCATAATTCTTTTTTTTTCTCTTTCTTTTACAAAGATTGTTTATTATTCTATCCTTACACCACCATTGACAGTCTGACCTTCTCAAGACAACACAAAAGCATTTAAAAATAACTGGGATGCCCTTGTTCTGCCAGTGCTTCCTCCTGAATCAGAAAAACATTGTCAAAGGCTGTCAGCCTTCTTTGCCCTTCAGTTGGCTGCAGTGACTTTTTGCAGCAAGACAAGCTCCATTCAAAGGCCCTACATTTTGGCACTGTTTATATTTTCTTGCCTGTAAATGCATGCCGATGTTTAGTTAAACATGTTAAGCTCGTGGCTTAACAGCAAGCGAATTTCACATAAAGCATTTTGTCTTGTGTTTGCATTTTGCTTTGTTAGGTACGAGCTGTTTATTTCCTTGAGCTGTTAACACAGCACCCATCATCCCTGTCAGATCTGAGCGACGCAGACCAGCATGAAGGCCAAACACCACCCAAAGGATTCCTCCTGCCCCAACAGCCGAAACACGGCTCTCCTCTCACTGCTCGGGGTCACCACTCCACATGGCGAAGCGCCCCCGGAAGCCCGACGGCACCACAAAACCCGCCAAGCCTGGGCGCTGAAACGCGCATGCGCGACGCTCTCCTCCGTGACGTCACCGGCCCGCCCAATGAAGAGCTGCGGCTCTGTTGGCGCCAAAGCTAGAAAGGGAGGCGGTGCGGGCGGGCTGGGGGTTCCTCTGTCGCCACGCCCCTAGGGCTCCCCTGCCACGTGACCGGGGTTCGGGCCGCCCTGCCGGGGGCGATGCCCAGTCGGAAGGTACCTGCGTGCGCGCCGAGGGGATCCGTGCGGGAGGGGGTGCGCGAGGCGGGTTAATAGCCGCGCTCCCCTCAGGGCGAGCTCTGGTCCCGCTGCCCACCCGCGCCGCTGGGAGCTCGGGCCTTGAGGCTCCCCGGAAGGGGTCGACTACGGCCCGCTCCGACGCGTCCCGGACGCTGTGCCCTCCCCGCGTCGTGCCTTGGGGGGTTTGCCGCGGTACGGCGGAGCCCCGCGGACGGGGCTCGGCGGCTTCGGTGGCAGCCGTGGAACGTAAACCCCGGGGCTTTGGTCGGGACGGGCGGGTTCCCTGCCGCTCTCTCGGTGGCTCGGTCTCTCGGGGCGCGGGCGGGAAGAGAGCCAAGCGGAGGCGCGCGCCGTTCGGGGTGCTGCTGCTCTGTGCCCCCGGCCCCGTGCTGCCGCCTGGCGCCTGTGCGGGCAGCCACGGCATGGCTTAGGGTGGGACGGGCCTTAAACATTGCCGAGCTCCAATCCCCTGCCGTCCCCAGCCGCCGGCTCGGGCTGCACGGGGCCCCCGGCCGGGCTGCTTTTAAACACCTGCAGGGAAGGGACACCTACAGCTACTCTGGGCAGCCTTGTACAGACCTTCAGTGTCAGGTGTAGGTGCTAAAAAAAAAATAATAAATCGTTTCTCTTTTTGGCACGTGGGTGGAAATGGTATGAGTATTTCACCCCAATTTTTTAAGTACAGCTAAGTTTAAAGTCCATTTTTATTGAGAAATGTCATCAGGCTTAAAGTAACGTACTCTACTTCTTCTAAAGGTTCAATAAGTTATTGACTGTTGGAAAATACAGGTGAGCAACTAAGGCTGAACTAGATTGCTTTGACGTTTGATTACAGCTTTTTGGTAATAATTTGTAGACACTGTTTCTAGTTACTGTATCAATGACAGCTGTACTGGTCAGGTGAGAGGACAGCAGTCCTCTGCATTTGCTGACTATTCAATTAATTAAGGCACTTCAAGAAATAAACTGACCTGGTATTAACTAATGTGTGGTGTTATGATTGTATCTGAAATGTTTTGGATAACCTAATCACGAGAAAGCTTTTCTATATACTTCTGTTATCATCAGTTTGATTGGTAAAGTGCAGATTTATGTCTAACTACGACTTGGCACAAGCTATGTGCAAGAAGTGTATTTCAGTAGTATCCTTATTCCGGGAAGGTGTTCTCCCTCAGTGTTATCACAGTAACTTGTATTGATGCTTACGTAAGCATGTATAGGTTTAAAAAAACGCTCAGCTTTCAGATGGTAATATTACATAGTTGTGTGTGTATATCCACATGTGTATCAGTTAATGAGAAAATAGGCTTTTGTTAACAGAAGTAAAAATCATAAACAAAAGAGTTTTAAAATATAAAAATATCCATCCCTTACATCAGCATCAGTAGGAGAAGTATTTTGTAAAACAATATTTCTTTTTTTTTTCTTAAGTGCATGCTAACAGCTGGAAGGAGGAATGCCAGGTCACTGTGACTGTAGTAATGCAGCTCAGCATTTTTTGTAAATTATTACAACTTGGTGAGAACACTTCTTAGTGAAGATTCTGGGTATTCTTGCCAGTTGACTTTGGAAAGGATGTATGCTGGTTTTCATTAAGGAAAAAAAAAATCTTGAAATAATACAGCCTGATTTTAAATCCTTGCTTGAAGGTTTAAAATGCAAGGATATTTTAATATTTCAAACAAATGAAAATCTCAATTTCCATCCAGGCACTGAAAATGGAAACTCTGTTCAGGAGCTTAATGGCATGAATGCTGAGTTCTGCTGAGAATGAGATTTCTGTTGTCAAATTCAGTTTTATGCAGTCTTAAAATTGGGCTCTTAAAGCCTGGAACTCCTTTGTTCTAATTTGAGTGTTTTCATGCGAAGACTGTAAAGATGAAGGTGAAAGATGAGAATGGTTGTTGGTCAGTGTTTGATGTCATTCTGTGTTCTTCTGTGATGTATTCAGAAGCTATTTTTAATGGGGGAAAAAAGTCTTTGAGATCAAGAACTTCAGCATCTTGCCTGCTCTGTGCTAGAGAAGAATACAGCAATTGTATTGAAGTAATTTCTGTTCTTAAGTGGTGCAACTAACCGATCTGCAGGTCAGTAGCAGGAGTCATACAGCAAAACCTTTTCTTTTTTGTCCTTCAGCTTGTGGTGTTTTTGTGTTAGAGAAAGTGATGTATCAAAGAGATGTTGCTGGCGTATGCATTAGGTACAGTACTGGGTCATGCTTTTGTGGGGGCTTGTTTTGTGGTTTTTGGCACAGGCTCAAGGAAGTGAGATTGTGTGGTGTGTAAATGGCTGTGTGCAGTTAGTAGACATTGAACATATGTCCCAGTGACTGCATTTAGGGTGCCTCTGCTTAACAAATATTTGCAGAAGTAATGATATATGGATTGGTTGAGTGGAGATGTTCTGGATAGGACCATCTAGTTAAAAATCAAAACCAACCCTCCAGCCTTATACATTTAGCAGTCTGGTGTCCAATCATTATGTATTTGAGATGTCTCTGTCTCACTTTTCCTCACTGCACACCCCTACCCATGGAGGCTGAGTTGCCCTTTATTTTGCTGAGAGTTACTGCAGGGGTAATGAGGGAAGGATTGTTTTCTGTGCCTTTGGCATGGAGGGGTTGATCCTAATCCAGTGACACGTGCAGCACTGTTGTTTTTTTGTTGTTGTTGCTTAAAAGGAATTGCTCCAGAGAAAAAGTACAATGCTTTCATGAACAGAGGTCAGCAGACAATTTCTGCATAAGGTAGCCATGCTAGTCTGAATTTAAACTCAAAATTAGAGGGCGTATTTTGTCTCCAGACACTGTGCTCAAATCTACGAGATTATTCTGTGGCCCTTCGTTCTGAGTACGTTTTGATTTTTGAGATGCACTGAATCCATGTGGTCTAGCTCCTTAGATCTTCACTAATACCAGTACCTTGGGTTTGGATACTTCATGTGCAACATTAGTAATTACCTAATATATTTTTGTGTCCCACTTTTATGCCAGAGGAAAAAGATAGATTAACTTTGTGACTTGAGATGGAAGGAACACACTGTTTGTGTTGCTGTTCTTTAGGAACAGCATGTCCTTTGGACTAGCTTTGTTATAAATACTGAGAGAAACGAGTTTCTTCAACTATCAGTTTCCCTGTTGCCCTGAAGCAGACCGGAGCTAAACCTTGCTGTTCGTGTCGGTGTGTTCCCACAGCAGCAGGTCTCTGTGCAGAGGTGTGAGGGGCAGCAGCTCCGCAGGGTTGGCTGGCACAGCCGTTGCCTTCCCCAGCACAGGCACAGTCCCACGGTGCCCCTGAGCCGTGCACAGTGCTCTGCAGAGCTGCTTCCATGGCTGGTGGTTGGAGCCTTCGTCCCGAGAGAACTCAGCAGTGTCACCTGTGTTCTTAAGTATTTGTCTTTTGAGCTTTGTCTGTGTAAATCTAGCTTTATTTTTCTGTTCCATGGAGCGTTCATATTACAGCTTTCTATTAAAAAAAGTGCTTTGTTTATATGAGCACAAGTTGTTTTATGCACGTTGAAATATATGCGTTTTACAAGGTGTATTTTTCTTTTTTAAAACACTGTGCATGTGTGTGTATATATGCATATATATACGTAGTGTGTGTGCCCTCTTTTATATGTGCCTTCCCACAGCGCTGATGCTACCTCATCTGCCATGGCACACTGCACTTCTTATGCAGTGTTCTTTTTGCTTCCGTTGGTACTTGCAGTGCAGAGAAACTGAGGGATTCTCTGAGAAAAGGGATTTAATGATTTTTAAGGATAATATGGTGAGAAACAGAACATAGTCATTCTGTAGTGCTGTTGAAAATGCTTCCTGACAATAGAAATTCATTACAAAGCCTATTTTATGTAACTCTTAGTGCATGCATTTGTGTGGCTTTTTCAGTTGTTTCCAACTGCCTCTGCTTTTAATTGACCATCAAAAGCTGTGTATTGTAAACCCCCGAGCAAGTCATAGTGATGTTACTGACACAGATGCACATTCTTTCAAACTGCAGTACCCCAGTTAAGAAACTGTTGTCAGCAACTGCAACAAGAAACATGACTGGATGAACCACATTTTGATCTGCCACATACTGCAGGTTTTGTTATGCAAAATTTATCTTGTATAGGTTTAGAAGTCCTGATAGCATACACTTAGGCAAGCTTTCCAACACTGGTTAAGGTTCCAAAAATAACTAACAAAGCAAAAATTAACAAAGGAATTGACTGGAATCCCCTTTTTGAAAAATACAAATAGATTTTAATCTGCGTTCAAATTACTGGCTGGGTATTCCTATGTAATCTACAGTGGGATTACAAATCAGTTGGCATTATATATGTGCCTGAATCTATTCTCTGTGTTTCAGTGTATAATTAGGACTGGTTTAGTGTATAAAACAGGACTGGTTGACTGAAGGGACAAACCAAGGTGCTGCTCACTGTGTGCTTTTTGGAAGTACCTTTTTCATTATGGCCAGCACTCAGAAGTTAAGGAAGAAACAAATACACATCAGACACAAAAGCTGCCCCTGACCTCTTTCTTTCCCCTATCTTTATGTGCTGATTAACATAGCTTTGGTGTACTTCTTAAGTACTGTCAAAGTGTTCTAAAGTGTTTCAGCAGCAGAGTGAACTGAAATCTTTACTGTGCTCAAGTTCAATTTATATGTGTAAACTGATGTAGAGTCTTAGAGGTAACAGTTTAAACTGGTTTCACGCGTAAAATCTATTGCATGAAATTAGTGCTGGATGCAAATGAGGAGCCTGTTTTCATAGCTTACTTGATAGTCCGAATGACTTTCACATTGCACATAAGGAAAGTGCATCACTTTATCTGCCACTATGGAGAAATGGATGAAAACAAATGTTATTCGTAAAGCTGAAAGAGTTCTGCCTGATGTTCTTGGTATTTTGCTGCTGGTTGTTCAATGGAGCGCTGGCTATTGATTACCTGGTCTGACCTCCTGCACAACATGGGATTCAATCAGATTAAACGAGAGTTTGAAGGATTTATGTAGTTATAACGTACTTTACTGAGCTGCTCTTAGGACTGTCGTCCTCGTTGGGCAGCTAGCAGATACTACAAACTGAACGTAGATGAGCAGTGAAAGGCACACTCGTCAAAGGTCAGATTTAGCCGTGACAATTAGTGCTACTGTTGTCGTGTGGTGTTGCGCAAGAAATGCTTGGAAGTGTTCAGAACTTTTTCCATCCGTTTTAAAATAAGGAGTTTGTTTGGAAGTATTTAGAAAAAGGGAATGTCTAGGTTAAGTGAATTTCACTTGAGAAGCATTTTGCACGTTCATGTTTTTGATGGGTTTCTTTTTCTTAGCGGAAGCGGTTTTGGAATGCAGAGTGCGCGTCCTTCCCAGATGAGACAACCCTACAGCTGAAAAAATCAAGTCTCAGGGCATCAGTGGCTGCAGCTTCCATTTCCAGTGCGTGGCTTAGGTGTGGGGATGGCTTTGAAAGTACTTCTATGCTCGAGGTAAAATTGCTTAAAGGTGTAAGAAAGAAAAGCTCAGCTGGTGGTGTGCTTTCCATGCTTGACTGAATAGTCACCCTTTTATGTATTGTCCCTAAAAGTATTACTTAATTTAACATTTGGGATGGAGAACTGTTTCTTCCTTTAAAAAAAAAATAATTAAAAATGGAACAAAATGACTTTATTTTGCATTAGAAGAATTCTTGTTAGATATAGAGTTTGTTTGCAACAATGAATTCACTGTAAAAAATGTACTGCATTTTGGCCTTGCAGCTCCTCTTTGGAATTATATATCAAATTAAGCTTAATTTTTTCTATGTTAGTCTTGGTCATGAATTTTGATATTCAGTTAGCTCTGAGTGGGAAAGGGCTGTGTGCTGAAAATCTTCAACTGATTTGTTTTTGTTTCTTTCTGGTACCGAGCAGTCCTAGTGTTACATAGCTTGTGGGATTTAATGAATAGACACAGGAGCATGGAAAGCTTTTCTGCAGCCTTGGAACAGGGCACGTGCTTTATCAAGCATGGTCTTCCTACCCCTTTTTGACATTTTAATGCTGAAAATAGTAGCTTTTGCTCTTTACAAGGTTAGTTGTCAATCTTGTCATTGTCACAGTGAACTTATATTTTCCTCAGTGATGAAAGTTAAGCTTTCATGTTAATGTTCTCATGATACTACAGTGTAGTAGGAGACTGAAAAATCTGTCTGAAGATGTGCTCAGTTGTGGCGGGTGTATAATAACAGATCTGAAGTATATTGCTATAAGGACAATTTTAATTCAGTGTGGATAATCTTGATTACATCTCTCTTTCTAGTCACTGAGATCTGCTGATAATAAATCTAAGACTAAGAAGCACCTTGGACCACTCTTAACAACTGCTGAAAGCCCAGTTGGTATGTTACAGCAATGTTGTCTTGGTACTGTCAAAAAGATTTCTACTTTGTTTTGTCCCTTATCAAGGTGTAAGCTGCTAGAAGTACTGATTTTCTTCTGTATTTGTACTTGGAATCTAATTTTGATGAGACAGTCCTGGTGCTATTGTGATTGAGCTCCTCTCTTAACCTCGAATGCCAGCTCTGCAAAAACTTTAGCTATTGCTCTTGAACAGGTAGACTATTACTAATATAGTATATACTATGTATCCTGGCAGGGACAGAACACTGTCCACAATTTTAAGAGCAGGAAGTGAAAACCAACTTGTAGCTGTCTAGATAGAGGGTGAGATAATGCTCACTTCACTTTGGAGACTGAGAAGCAGGCATGAGAGAAACACGGTATTTTATAAGTATGAGGAATAGACAGTGAAACAGAACTTTGTCAGCATCCTGCATTCACCATCTTCTGTATGTACCTGAGTCTGTTTAGTGTTGTGATTGGAAAAAGAACCCTAGGTGTCATGAGGAGTATGAGGACTTATGGATTGTCTCCATATCTTTCACTTCTTGAGTCCAGAGGAAAGGAGAGATAGGGCAGTGATTTCTTCAGTCTTTGTCTTTCTACTTGCTCTAGCAGCCGAGAGAATCAAAATGAAAATAAAGCATGACTGTATAAGAAATATTTGAGTTAACTTTCCTGTATTGATCTCTTGCTTGCTGACAGCACTGGTAAATTTTTTCCAGTTCAAAAACAGTTTAGCATAATTCTTATAGGATTTTAAATTTAACTGTACTGTATTTCTGTAACGATCTAAAACTTTACAATTCTCTTTAATAGGATCTGCTGCTGAAAGCTCTAAGGAAGTTGAAGACATAATTTGGACCTCTAGTGGCAGTGATTTTTCAGATAATGAAAATAAAACATCGATTTCAAGGTTACACAGCAAAAAAAGTCTCACTTGCAAAGCAGAGAAGTCACAGGGCAGGCATTTTTTGTTAGAGGACAGAAGTGATGAAGGTAAGTCCAAACACGAGCAGATTTGTCAAGGAACTTTGTCAGCTTCAAGTGCTGTGACAAAAATACTGCCAGATCATTCTGGCTAAAGGACATGACTTAATCAGAGTAGGTCTCGATCATTTGGAGGACTTTTTTCCATCGTATCAGTGAGTATAGCATAACCTCTTATTATAAATTATGTAAAAAAAAAAAAAAAAAAAAAAAAAAAAAAAAAGAAAAAAAAAGAAAATTAAACTCTGGAGTCCATTTTGTACCATTTTCTTTTCCACGCTGGTGTTGTGAACACCTTCCTCTGCCTGCTCTGTTCTTCTAGTGGGTGTTGCTGCCTCTACATATACTGAGTAGATGTGGCAGGCTTTGCAGCTGCAGATAGCATCATTTTACGTGGCATGAGTTTTCATTTCAGTACACAGTATTCCTTGTTTTCTCTGCTAGCTGTATTGTGCAAGCAACCATGAGTTTTGTTTCTGGGACCTGCTTTCTATTTCATGGAGCAAGGCATGCCAGATAGCAGAGACTTTGATTAAAGTGCAGCTGAAGACAGAAAAATCTTGTGTATTTTAGTTGATTAGGATGATATTTAATTTGCATTAGAACTTAAGTATTTTCAATGTGATTACTTGAGCTGGATCTGAAGCACTACAGACAGACTTCAGATCCTGGTTATCTGGTAGCTTTCAAACAGGACTGTGAGTTGAGCAAATGGATTGACTAATTTATGTGTGACAAGGTAAAACTTGGGATTCATACTGCCATCAAAAGTTGCATGCTGTGTGACACATAGCTTCAAGAGACCTCTTTGTGCTAAACTAGTCACCAATGACTATATTTAAAACTTTTTCTATATAGCTTGCTTGTTTTTTAGAAACAGAAATGAATTCACACAGGCAAACCAGAGCTTTCTGTTTATTTGTCTGGGTGGCTTCAGAATTAGGAAGTTCTGTGAAGAAATTAGTGATAGGGGAGTTGGACTCGATGATCTCTGGAGGTCCCTTCCAATCCCTACAATTCTGTGATTCAGTTCTGTGAAACTGTTGTAGCACTGTAACAGAACATACCACTGTTCCACTTATCTGTAGAGATGCCTAGAGCATCTTTACATGTAGGTGCCTCCTTTCTCTGCTGTCTGCAAAAGCAATACAAGCAAAACTCAGGTCTTCAGTTTTCTTCCTCCAGACTTTATCTTTTCAGAATTGAATGAGGTTCTTTTTGCCAGTAGCTTGTGCGCTGAGACACTTGGACCTGAAGGTTGAGGAGGCCTGCTACAGCAACTCAGGCTTCCACTGCCTTTCAGAAGATCCTTGTAGATGAGCACAAGTGTGTTTCTGGACTACGTGGTTTCGAGTGTGGTGAAAGAGCAGTGTCTGTGTTTATTGCCATTTTGTCACTGTTCTTTGCTTGAAGCAAGCACATGTTTTCTTGTGCCTGATTGTTTAGGAGAAATTAATATGAACATCTGTCAAAGGTTTGGTTTGCAGACCTGTGTATTTGGGCATGGTTTTACAAGGTTACCATTTCAAGTATTTTTGTTATGCGTGGGAGTTACCACTCATAACAGGTGCTAATTTCCATCAGCTTTGCAGCCCTTCTGGGTCACTGTCTGACGTATTTGCTTTTACTTAAAACAGTTAATTCTGAATAAGTACACTTGGAAAAAAAAAATCTGATTCAGCTGGATGGAAAAAAAACCCATAACCACTCTAAATCCTAAGAAATTAACAACTAAACCAAGTACTTATCTAAGTAGTTAAAAATACTGCCTCCTTATGAGCAGCACTTTGTATTTTTATTTTTTAATATGTTCATTCATGGAAGTTCTGTATGGATTTTACAAGGGATGGGATCATAAAGTAGTTAAACATAAAGGCAGTTTCAACATATGTAGCAAAAAAAAAAAAAGCACAAAAATTGTGCTTTTCCCAAGTCATGGATAATTAATGTTTTACTGTTTAAATTCATATTTTTGAATAATATGTGGAATGAATAAGAAACATTATTACAAATTTTCTTTAGATGAATCAGAGTTTATTGACTGGGGGAAGGATAGTGATTCTGCAGATGAATGTAATGAATCTGAGAAAGATGACAGCTCACTGGAGATATCGGACACTGACTCCTGCACAAATCTTAATTCTCTACCTGGCCAAGAGGAGAATGATGAGCTTTGTAAGGTAAGAAAGCGTTTTCTTTTAAAAGGAGTTTTTCTCTTATAATTATGTAGTGTATTCTTATTTGATTGCACTTAACTTGGAGGAATGTGAGGCTTCTGTTTACCTTAACTTTAGAAGGAATCCTGTTCGCAAGAATTTCAGGATATTTTCTCTGACTGCCAAATCTCAAAACCACCAGTGCTGCACACCTAGGAATCGGTAGTGTGATTGCTGAGACACAGAATGACAATGATGGGAAGGCTCCTCCCTGGGGATCATCCGGTTCAACCTCTGTGCTCAAGGCAAGATCTGATAGAGGGAACTGCTCAGGGCTGTATGGTTGTGTTTTGAGTCCCTTCAGGCTTGAAGACTCCACAGTCTTTCTGAGCAAGCTGTTTAAGCACTCTGAATAAAGTTTATTCTTAAATGGAATTTCTTGTATTTCAACATGTGCACAAAAAGATCTAGATTTCTTACCAGAAATATGGTGATCTGGATTCTTCGTAGCCCTTGTCTAATGGCTTTCTCCAGCAAGTTGATGTCAATTTCCTGTTATGTGCTGGATCAGACAGCTTCTTATTTCTCTGGAGTGTTTTGAGAGCTTGCCCACATCAAATTCAGTTATTGTGCATAGGGCATAATCTCTGAGCGGTGGTGAGGTAATAGACTAACGAATATAGGACTGTCTTTTTAGTGATGAGGATTGGAGAGCTTAGGAAAGGCAGAAGTAAATACTGAATCATATCAGCTAGGACTGGTAGTGTTTCTGTTCTTGTACGGGGGAGGTTTTTTAACTGCAGAAAATGAAACTTAAGGCATGTCCTATCAAGTACAGAATAAATGTTTAATAAGAAGAGCTTTTCCAGTGAAATGAGTTGTATTAAAAGAGTTGAGATTTGACACCATTCTTGGCCAGGCTGACATTGAGCTTCTGTCTGGTGCAGCAAGCCAGGTGCATCTTCAGGATTGTTCCAGTTCTCTGTCACCCTCATAGTAAAGTTTTTCCTCATAGTAAAGAAGCTTTTCCTCATATTCCTATGGAACCTCCCGTGCTGTTTTTCACCCCTTAAAGTAACAGGAGAGTGACCTGTCCCTTCGAGGAACCGAGTGAGGGGACGAGGGGCGGTGTCACCACATGAGGACGGCGTTCCTCAGCGAGGGTGGCTGAGCGCTGTGTGAGGGGCCGTGCAGCCCCGTGCTGGGAGTGCCGGCATGCGGTTAGCGAGTCCCGCACTGCTGGGCGCGCAGCCCCTCGGGAGCCTAGCGCCGGTCTCCAGCTGCTCCCTTCGTGCCCACCAGGGGGCGCCGCAAGCCCGCTCTGCGAGCGGCGGGCGCTGCCGGGCAGGGCCGTTACCTGCTTGCACGGCGGCTTCGAGGGCTTGAACCTGGGGAACAGATCCGGGATTTGTGCGGGCGGTGGAAAGTCGTCCCGCTTCTACTACATCAGCATGAGTTACCCCACTGTAGATGGAAATTCGGATAAATTTTGAGACACTTCAATATTCTCAAGAGGTGAGCCCTCATGAGAGGGCTTTTCAGATGCAAACATATGGAATGAAATTGTTTAATCTTAACCAGAATATTTACGGTACTACAGGAGCCCCTGAGTAAACAGGACAGGAGGATACCTTTGCAGGTTTCCCTTTTCCAGTCAGAGTGTTACGTGGTGGGGGTTTCCATGGGTGGTCAGCCTTACCAGTGAACTTTTCTCTGGGATCTTGATGTATGTAGGAGGGCAGAGCCCAGTGATTGCACGTGTCATTCACATGCTTTGCTGTGCTTGGGATATGCTGTTTTCCTAGGAAAAATAGCAGACAGTTGGGATGGTTCCAAGAGAGAATACAGAAGTGCTCCTCACAGAAGGTCACTTGCTGTATGAGTTTCTTTCAAGAAAAGCCTCTTAGTTTTGAGGCATAGTTCATGGTGCAGGGAGGAAAAAAGCCAGATGTTGATATATCATTTTTGTGGTGTTTACTAAACCTCTGGAACCCAATGAAGTGTGTGGATAATCAAAAGACCTTGACATTTATTTTATTCCACTTCAAAATGCACCAAACACCAGGAGGTTCTAGAGGTTTAGGATTGCTGCCAAATATCTTTATTGTACTATTTATGGATGATAAGAGTATGCTAGGTTTCTCCTGGGAAATGTAAAAAGGTGAATAATTATTTTTTCCAATGTATTAGTAGATCTAATTTGAAAAATACTTCCATTCAGTGACAATTAACTATGCAGAAAGACTTGTATTGGTACAGAGATGAAACTTCTGCTTGTGTCAGGTGTAAATCTAGTCCCATTTCAGTCTGTGTTTCATCTTAAGTTCTTATGCAGTGCCTTTCTTAGCAGCTAGCTGCCTCTGATGTGTAAAGCTACTTGGCAGAGAGTGAGGAAGGCAAGTTGAATTTAGCCTTGGGGTGAGCAACTATTAACTAATTTCTGGTTTTGTTCAGAATTTTTGGAAAAAAAGAGAAGGTGTGAAATATGACAGTCTTTATTTGTATGTCTTTAAGGGATGGGAGAGTTTTATTTTGTGATTACTAAATTTTCTTTGATTTATAACTGATTGAATTTTTGGTTAAGGTGATGCAGAAGAAAGTTCTAGCAAGGCCTGATCCCAGAAGGTTTTATTCTGAGAGCTCCTTTGCTCTCTGTTGTCTGTGAAGGAAGCCTAGTTGATGTTTTGTTTGGAGACAGTGTTGCTAGAATAAAGATTGAAGCTAATGTTAGTTTTTTCAGCATCCACATTTTCCAGAAGAGCATTATCTAATGAACTCAGAATTGATCTTATGCATTTACCTGCATTGGTGATGACTACTTTGACTTGTGCAGAGGTCTTTTATGAGCTTAAGTTCCATATTGTATTAATCTTTAAGTTGCTTGCAATTTATGAATATTTTATGGATTATATGAAATCTCATGAAATGGTTTCTGTTGTAAAGGGACCCTAAAGATTAGTTCTGAATCCATTGCTGTGGTCATGGATTGCTCCATCCAAATCAGACTGCTCAGGGCCTGATCTAACCTGTTCTTCAATGCCTCCGGGGATGGGTATCCATAGCTTCCCTGGACACAGTCTGTGCCAGTGCCTCCGCACCCTCTGAGTAGGGAATTTCTTCCTAATGTCTAAATCTACCATTTTCCAGTTTAAAGCCACTGCCCTTTTCCCTATCTCTATAATCTCTGATAAAGAGTCCCTCCCCAGCTTTCCTGTAGCCTCCCTTCAAGTACTGGAAGGCTGAGATGTGGTCTCTCCAGAGACTTTTCTTCTGCAGGCTGAACGCTAACTCCTTCAGCCTGTCTTCATAGGAGAGGTCCTCCAGCCCTCTGATAATCTTCCTGCTGCTGTGGACTCAGTCCAACAGCTTCATGCCCTTTTGCCAGTGATCTCAGAGCTGAATGCAGTGCTTCAGGTGAGGTGAATCTCGAGAGAGCAGAGTGAAATGGCAGAGTTACTGCCCCACGGGCTATGCTTTTCATGTAGCTGTGGATACAATTGGCTTTCTGGGCTGCAAGCATGCTTTGTTGGGTTGTGCTGAGCTTCTCATCAACCAACAGCCTTCTCTCAGGACTGTTCTCAATCAATTCTTAGTCCAGCTTTTTTTTGTGCTTGGAGCTGCTCTGACAAGTGCAGAACTTTGCACTTGTCCGTATTGAGCTTCATGAGGTTTGCACTGACTCGCCTTTCAAGCCTGTACATGTCACTCTAGATGGCAGCACTTTGCTCCAGTGCATCAGCTGCACCACTCAGCTTGGCTTCCTTGGCAAACTTGCTGAGAGTGCCCTCAGTCCCACTGTCCCTGTTGCTGACAAAGATATTAAATAGCGGTGGTCGCAGTGTCACCAGCTGAGGAACACTACTGTTTTTCTTCTAGTGCTGTTGTATGTGAATTTGTGTTTTCTGCCATGAACCTCCTACTCTGCAAGCATTCTCTGTCCCTTTGTGCTAAGTGGCATCACCTCTGCAAATTCTTATCCAAAATATTTTGCAGCTTTATCCCTTAAAGTAGCTTCATGTAATGTGTAATTTCTGTGTCTTATGGAGTACAGTTGTCTTGTCCTGTGTTAAACATCTTTGTCTGTTTCTGATGGGTGTCCTGATTTGTTTGCTTTCTATGCACAGAAGGAGTTATTCCAGAATGATGAGAAGAGATTTTGTGCCCTTTATAGTGTTAGAGTATAAGAATTAAGAATTCTTCTGTACTTTCTATACAGCACAAATAAAACTTAGATGGTTGCAGCAGATACTTTATTGCAGAATGTGCTAATAAGCTTACCTGCTAATCTTGACATCTAATGTGGCTGAAAATCCATCAGAAAGCTACGTAAGAGCTTGTTTTCTTGAAATACAGATTGAAGGGAACTCTGAACTATCTTGTTGAATGATAAGCCATTAAAGATAATCATCGTATTTTGTTTCAAAACTTTTTAAAGGGATCCACAGCTGTGATCTCTGTTTCCTTCTGTGCTGTGGTCTGTGTGCACTGATAATTGGAGATCTGATGTGGTTTTTGTGCAGTTGTGCAAAAGTTGATTTGATCTTTTTTGAATGAAAGGAACTTTAGATCACTTGAAATGCATTATTTGAGACCTTTCCTAGGTGTGGATTATTGTATAGTATTCTTTATGGAGTTGTACAATCACCAAGGTTGGAAAAGACCTCCAAGATCACCCAGTCCAACCGTCCACCTACCACCAGTATCTCCCCACTAAACCGTGTGCCTTAGTATGACATCTAAATGTTTCTTGAACGCCTGCAGGGATGGTGAGACCACATCTCCCCTGTTCCAGTGCCTTGCCACTCTTCTAAAGAAGAAATTTTTCCTAACATCCAATCTGAACCTCTGCTGGTGCAACTTGAGGCCTTTTCTTCTTGACCTATTGCTACTCGTGTGGGAGAAGAGACTGACCCCTGCCTCTCCATAAACTCCTGTAGAGAGCTGTAAGATCTCCCTTGAGGCCTCCTCTACTCCAAGCTGAGCAATCCCATTTCTCTCAGCCACTTCACCATAGGACTTGCGCT